TTTCACACATATTTAAAACTAGATCAAAATATTTATTGTCGAGCTTGACAATAATTTTTAGAAAGAAGAAAAAGTTGAACACAAATAGATGATTAGTTAATTTACAATATACTTTTTCAGTGTAAATTTTAACTTAGTTCAGATTTAAAAAAAGTAATTTTTTTTCCTAAGATGGACACAATATTATTTTGAATTCCTTACTGATATATATAACTGACAATGAGTTAAATTGTAACACCATAATCCGTCCAGGTCAGCAGCCCCTTTCGGACTAAAGTATTGATTTGGTAATCGTGATAATTTAAAACATTTAAAACATTTTTATTTATAAATAAATAATATTCCATACATAATTGTAAAGAAATATGGAGTGTTTAAATAAAATGCGGAAGCGACTTTAAAATATGTCTCATAACAACATAATTATTTATTTCATTCAATAATCCACCACGACCGTCTCGCCCCTTCTGCTGCCAGAAATCAGCCAATCATTCATTCTGTTTACCTGCGTGTAGCAAATAAAACACACTACACGCTCAGCGGTAAAGCTGAGTAAGCATATCTAAAGCGTCGAACATCCACATAAATTGAATCTCGATTCATAATCAACCATTTGATATCATGCACACAATATATAATTCAAACGTTCATGATATTCTCAATATTTTATTTCAAGTCATTTTATATTCAATATCTCAACAATGCTCTTAAATTATTCTTAATCTAAGGCCAAATCATTTTATAACAACTCTTAGCTATTCCTAGTCTAAGGAAACATTTCTATCCAGGCCCTTAAACTATAAATAGTTTAATGCAGAACACAAGAATCGATAATCCACCCTTTGAGTCATGTCGATTATGTACCAACCGAACAGTGAACTGTCGGGTGGCTGATATCCGTTCTGGATCCCGTACGTACGTTTTAACCCCGAAATATGAATTGGTCAAGGAGGTATATCTTAGAGTTCTTCTAGATATCCTTAATAATCATCATCATTATACAAGTGGGTATATCTTAGAGTTCTTATAGATATTCTTAACAATATACATCATTTTCATAATCATCATTATATCCATTTTTAATCATGATTTAATCAATAATCATACTAATCAGTAGGTTAATCATTCATAATTGGACACAATAATAGTTCATCATAATGATCATTCAACATAACATTTAATAACAATTAGCGGCCTAGTCTCGAGTGTTAACACCCAAACTTACCGTCATGCATCACATGAGATTTTAATTTATTAAAAGCATCATTTTTCTTTTGAAAAATCATTTTTATAATGATCATAATCAATTGGTATCAAAAATAGGATTTTAGAACTCAAAAATAGCATTTTTCGTAGTTGACTGTCTTCGGAACGGTCGACCGTTTCAAGTGACGGTCGACCGTCGTTGCCTCCGTTGTACTGAAGCCACTGGTCTGGTAACGGTCGACCGTTGCTGCCTTACATCAATAGTACTTCGTCTTCAACCTCGAGTCCAATTTTCGAAACATCATTTTAAGTCACCAAACTTCAATTAAAGTATATAGAAATGTTCCCCAATGTACATAGATCATTTTAATACTATTAATTCGAAGTTTTAACAACAATTTCAAGGTTTATGATTCTTGGTTCTTCAAACATGTCAAATACAAAACTCAACCAAATGACCATTTATGAATGTAGAAACGACCTATATGAACATTCTAGTCATTAGATATATCTACGGGCTTACTTTGAAACGTAAGGGAGGTTTTGATGATTTTCCGGTGAAACTTCCGGTGACAAAAGCTCTCAACTCCGGCGACCTCTCTCTGAATTGGAAGCACCAGCAAACTCTCCTCACTCAGGGCAGCAGAATAGAAAGAAATTTGAGATGATTTGGTGAAGAATTGAGGGAATAAGGATTTCTTAAATAGAGGAAGGAAGGAGAAGAAGACATGGATGAAATATTCCTGAGTCACCAAAATCGGATAGTGCGCCGTTTGTACAGTGAGCGCCGATTGGAGTGTAGTCCCTGATTGGGACTAATTTCTGGTCCCAATTGGGGTACACTTTTTGGTCAAACTTTCTCCAAATTGAAATCCGATTGAACCGTTGGGGTCAGACAGTCAAACTCTACACAACGATAAAATTTTCATTATTATTGACAAACTTTAAAAATCACTTATTTTTGGATCCTTCTCAGTAATTAATTAATTATCAATTAATTAATTCTGATAGGCCTAATTTCGGGGCATTACATAAATTGCTCACTTTTATATCCAAATTTATGAAAACTATTATATACTTGGTCAAAATCCTATTATAAAAAAAGATATATAATGAGTTAAAATGTGTCACCCACCACTCATTTTCATTCTCCATTTCAATACATAGGCATTCAGAATCAATTATGCAATAAAGAAGCGGAGAATCTTTAATTCCACTTTAGCCTTTTGTTTTTAAAAGGATTGGTGGTAGGAGCATCCTATTTTTCAATTTCAATTGGGGCTATGGAAAATCAAGTTCACGGTACATGGACAAGATCAGTTAGAGATGCAAGAGAAAGAAGAAAAGGAATACTTCAAAAAAAATAGGACATAGAAAAGGTACGTACTTTAAATATTGTTTTATCTTAATATATTTAACAAATTCTCCATGTGAAAATGAACACTCCTAGAAAAGATTACATAAAAATATGTGTACTTTTTAAATTATAGTCAAGTTATTTTATCAATTATAATTTGTATCCGTAAAGAAATTAAACGTCGTTCATAGGTTTCATAGAAATCATGGATAATTAAAATGTAAAATTGTTAATTTATCTAGGTATGCATATAGCTCACTGATTGTTTTTTATCAATTTTATATTTACATCAATAGGAATAAAATGATGTCTAACCATGACTCTTTAATTTCATTTTTCTATATTTTTCAATGAAAAAAATAGTTTATGCATATATGAAATGGGTGAATATAAAAAATGTGAGTACATATTTTAAAATAAAATGATATGCATGCGGGGGAAAAAATGTATGCAATGATACGTAATGATCAATGTAAATAATTCAAAGTTCAAATATAATTTTTATATTGGAAAATTTACTTATATCTAACACATAATTCATTTATCAAAATGGAAACTAAGCTGTGTTCACTGAAATAATTAATACTCCATATATATATTCATAGTCAAAGAAATTTACCTAAATAACACTAAAACATAATGACTTTCCCAAAATAGCAACACATGTTTTTTATTTCCCAATGTAGCACTTTTAGTCATCATCCATTAGTCATTATTTAGATGAAAATGAGTACTTGACTTCTGATTCTTCGTGCCAAGCAGATGCAGATGTAGGTGTTGATGGCGATTGGATAACAGTTGAGTTTTTGAACGAAATCAAATGTTCGGAAATCCCAAACCACAAAATAGTCTAGAAAAAAGGGGTACGAATTATGCTATTGAGGAACATTGACCAAACATCAAGATTGTGTAATGAGACAAGTTTAATCGTTCAAGAGCTGCAAAATAATGTTATCGGTGTAATTGTGATTTCGGGAAATCGATTTGGTGAACAAGTTTACATCCCTAGAATGAATTTGAAATTTTGAATCCATCTGATCCAGGCTTACCATTGAAGTTCCAAAGAAGACAATTTCCGATCGCCGTATGTTTTGCTATGACTATCAACAAAAGTCAAGGTCAAACATTGTCATTTGTGGGATTATTTTTAACCAAGTCAGTGTTCACACATGGTCAACTATATATTGTTGTTTCACGAGTGAAGACAACGATAGGATTAAAGACATTAGTTGTAGATGACAATAGAAACCCTTGCAACCATACCAAAAATGTTATATACCCTGAAGTATTTCAGAAAATTTGGTATTAAAATAAACATTGTTAACTCTCAATTCTGTTCCTCAAATATTATTTAGTTTACTTTGACTTTTTTCATTTGTAGTATTAAAAATCATGTGAGCAATATATTTTCTTTATTCCGAAAAATAAATTTCATTGAAATAATTCAGAATCGACATAAATTTCTTTCGACCCCGTGCATGGCACAGGTCAGAATACTAGTTTAAAAAATATTTCACTCTTTGAAAAATGAAAAAATATTTCACCTTCAAAGATATTAAATTGTTTTTGGCATTTTTATGGTTTATTGAATTTAATATTTCTTAAATGAAATAGTTATAGAATTTTTAGTGCATGTACATCAATATTTAAAGTATACTTTTTATTTAAAAAATATACTCCGTATATCTTAGAGTGAAAAAATATTCATTTAAAATAAATAAAATTATATTTATAGAATGTCAAAAATTTAGAATGTATATGAGCCAAGCACGGGGTTGACACTAGTATAATGTAGAATGACACCTTACCGGTACTATCAATTCTTATTTGGAGAATAAAAATATTGAACTCTTATTTTGATATTTTTTTCTATTTTTTACTCTTACTTAAGGTGATTTTTTATACAACTCGGTTTTATGAGCATTGGACATAGATGAAATTATTGAAATATTGACATTCTAGTTCATATTATTGTTGTCTTTAAATATTTGTGTAGCTTTGACCTTTTGAAGTTAATCACATTCAATCTTTGACCTATAATTATATAAAAATTATACTTGTATGATATATAAATATACAATATGTACTCCATAGAAATTAGATAAAATAATACTTTGAAAATATTTTATAAAATATATTTAATAAAAATATATCAATGTCTCATATTAAATTTATTTAGTTTAGTAAAAATTTGTTAATTTTAATGGTAATAATTATACAAGGACTATGGAGGTTGCCCTAAAAGAACGAGGGAGGTAATTTAAATTTAGAAAATTATCATCTGTAGCAAAATTCTGACATTCTTAAAACGAATTCCCACGCAATTATTTGAGCATAAAAACATTTCGCAGAAGTGAAATGTTGAAATTTTCCCGCCAAGATTGCCATTTCAGGAACTGGAATACGGGGTGTTAGTCAAAGCGATCGGCCGCTGTCTAGTAAGAAATCGATCTTCTACCGGGTCTGTGCGCACCCTTGGATCGATCTCCGACACCGCAACGATGGCGGATTACTCCAAGACCCAGCGCATCGTGCTCCTCATAGATCTTCACCCGCTCCGGACTTTCCAGAACCCTAACTCTTATCTCACTTCAATCTCTGCGACCGCTAAACGCCTCACGGCATTCGCTTCCCTCACTGAATCGCTCTTCTCCTTCAGATTCTTCTTCTCCTCTCTCTGCCCTTACCTCTCCACCTCTGTCGTCGACAACCTCATTGGTAGCCCATTTCTCACTTCTTTCAACCTCCCTTCCGAGACCTTAAAATCCCTTACCACTATTCTCACATCTATGTCCATTCCAGCGGAACTTGTGGTAAATCATTCTCGCGCATCCTATGTCGCCAGCTCTTTGTACCAACTCGTATTGGATTGCACTTGGGAATCTGAAACTGACGATCTCACGGGTAAGGCTAATGTCGCGCTTCCTAAGATTTCTTCGAATTTGGTGCTTTTGTTTTCCAATTTGCCTAAATCCATGAGCTCCTTGTCTGAGCATATGGATCTGGGAGGGGATTCTGAAAATTCGAAGGTTTTAGATGGGTTTGCAGTCAAATTTCGTGAATTGTTTGGTATAGTGAGCAATGCGTTTGCTAATAAGGATATTCATTTGAGCTGGATTGATGTGAGAGACGGCCTCGTGGGGTGTGCGAATAATTTGAAAGTTAACGACTTTGAAGGATCAATGCTTTTGGAGGATGAAATTAAGAGATACGGGTGGGGGTTTTGCTCAACCGACTCAATTGTTTTGGATTCTGCTCTAGTTCCTTTTGGTTTGATATACCCGAAAATAGGAATTTCTTTACAATTCCTGAAGTGTGCTGATTCTAGTAAGGGCCGTTTTGGACAGCTATATCTTCAGATCCTTGATGTGAAGGGAAACCCCTTACAGTGCAGGTGCTGTGATCTTGAATTTATGAATCTGAGTGAACCACAAAGTGACGAATGCAGTGGAGAATCAATTTGGTGTTCTTTTGGTGAAGCTGGGGTGATAAAGATGGAGATTCATGAAATCCAGCGGTACGATGAGGGTAAAAGAGTTGAAGACTTCACATCTAGTTCCATTCTAGTGCGCGAGTTTTTTGGTGTCTCTAGGAATTGCAAAAGCCAAATTGCTGATGATTTCCTCGCTTATAGGGTTCTTGATATGTTGTCCGGGGAGATGGGTGAGAACACCAAACGAAACTCTGTGCCCATCTGGAACATTCTGATGAGTTTTCTATACGAAGAAGGCTACCAGGCCATGGTTTCTCTTTCAAGTAACAATGGACAGATTTCAGGTGTTCTCAAACCTTTGACAACTCACTTAGCACTGCTCTCAGTCATTGATAGTAATGAAGAACATGGTTGGAATCAGTCGCAGTCTACATGTGCAAGAGACAGGATTTGTAACGCATCTGTTGTTGATACGGAATATGTAAATGGTTCCCTGCCTGAGGCTTCAACTTCTAATAATTTTGAATCTCTAAGGCTTGAGAGAAGAAGAAAGCATAAGAAATCTTCAGATCAGAATCTCTGCTGGAATTCATTTTGTGATGCGGCGTATGAGTGCTCTGATTTCAATATGGTAGAAGTTTGTTCTGCCAGAAAACCTGAAAAGTCAAAGATGCTGAAGTTTTTTAAATGCTGGATGAAGCAGATAAAAAAGCACAGCAGCAGCAGCAATTTTCTGCAAACAACACTTCATCCACCGTGTTCGCAGCAGCAGCACTTGCCGCCACCTTTATTTTCTCAAGAAAACTTAATGCAGGAAGGAGATGCATCTTTTTCCTTCCCTGAAACAGCAGAAGTCTTCTACTGTAATCTCCCACAATGGATTGAGCATCGTCTAAGATCTGGAGCAGACTTGCAGAGTTTTGCAGAACGTCTTGTAAAGTTATCGATACACGTGTTATCTCAAAAATATGAAACAGACAATAGTGCAGCTGATCATAATGCAAAGCAAAGTGCAGACATATCTCATACGAACATCACTACAGAACTTATGGAACTTTTATTACAGAAGCCAAGAGATATGAAAGATAAACTGGAGTTTGACAATCCTACATCAGAAGTATCTGATTTCAGTTCAACCTCAAAATTTATTGCAAGAGAGTATCCTTTTTTTGTTGTCACTTAAATGTTAAAAGAATGTTGTAGAGACATTGTACTAATATGTCTTTCCTTAATTTGAGCAAGATATGAATTGCAGGTTTTTCTACGAATGGAAATTCTTCGTTCTGATGTTTCTGAGAGTATTAGAAGATCTGCAAAACAGAAGCTTGTGAAACAGATTTGCTCCCTTCTAGAGATAATTCAGTACCTTGTTGAAGGAGGCATTCATGGTCATGTTTGCCTTTATGAATATGTTGAGCGGACCATCAGGATAAGGTAAATGAGTTTGCTAAGATGCTTGCGTTAAGTACTAACTTTCATTTGACTACTTATACTGTATAATACAAAGTAATAAATTACAATTTGGCTTTCTATTTTGCCATTTCGACTATTTGTTAACATCAAAGTCCACCTAACCTCACCTGAATCAGGTATAGCCAATATCTTAAAGATATTGTGACTAAAATCTATGCTGAAATGGACCTGCTGCCATTTGGTGAAGAAGACGAAATTCAGGCGCACCTCTTCAACAGTGAGGATAGTGATCAATCATGGAAAGATAAACTAGATGGATCTAAAATCGCCAAATCCTACAACATCCTACAAAATCACTCAAGCCAGCCTGCAGATGGTGATGAGAGTCTGGAGGCGTTTAGGGAGGACGAACATGCACGCAGGTTAAATGAAGCTCGTGAAAAGAGAGATTTAGCTAGGAGATCCGTGTGTCCAAGGACGCTAGTCCAGCAAAGAGTTTGGGCACCCAGGCAGCAGCCTAAGGTGCCAAAAGGGAAATTTGAACAGCAGAAAGACACTCAAAGGAAAGACACGCGAAAAGCTCGTCGTTACAGTGTGGTGTGTGAAACCCCAATGTCCCAAAGAAAACATATATACTCTCCTAGTGGCGAAAAGGGGCATATAGACTCCCGGAACTCTTCAAGCTTTGCTTCGAAGGCTCTGTTTCAGGATCCATGATCTTCTTTAGATTGGGTTTCATGTGTGGTGTCATCGGAACAGCTCTCTCATTCAAGGGGAAATGCATGAAAGCAAAAGAAACAAGGTCTATGGTGACAGAGCTCACGAAGCATCATTGTGACACTAAAGTGGTGAATGCCAAGCATGACAACCCCCCCCCCCCCCCCCCTTAATTTATTTTGTAGTTAATAGTTGGGTTGTGCTTCATGTTCATCATCCTTATATATACATCATTACATCAACTTGTATATGACACACAAGCCAGAGTTGTGCGATGTCTGTGAGGAGGTTCACCAACATGGCAAATGCCTGACAGAATAAAAAGCATCATCTCTTTGTGTGGTAAAACATTTCCTTTTATAGTTCCTGCTTTTTATTTGAGAGTTGGCAATTGCTCAATTTTTATATGGTGTGCACAAGTTTCTCTTTGTAATGCTTTTTATTATTTATTATACATCCATGCTCTCTATACAGTATGTTTTTACCCCCTAAGAACACTCGCAAAATGAGAGAAGAAGAAAGCATAAGACGTTTTGAGGAGGGGGTACGAACCCTCAATTTTTTGATCGGAGCACCGCATGTGTTGTTTAAGAAAAATAAGTGTTGTTTTTCGGGCATAGTCATATATAAATAAAACAAGTGCACAATTGACTCAGTATGTCATTGGCAACAATCTTGAACATTCATAGAACTTGATCACTCTTCAAATATAATCTTTGATGCACTTATTGGAACTCCCAGATACTTCAAGGGAGTGCCTAATTCAAATCCAGTGATCCTTCTTAATTGTTCCTTATGAACCTCATTCATGCCTCCAAAGAAGGTCAAAGATTTATTGGTATATATTGATCTGGTGTTCTATGGTCTTAGAAAGTATATCCAGTGAATTATTTAAGTAGGTAACAGATCCTTATTAGCTTTACAGAACAACATAAGATCATTAGCAAATGCTGTGTGAGTGAACTTTATGGACTTCCATTTAGGGTGAGGTGAAGTAATTTTAAACATGGCAAAGAAGTAATTTTAAATATTTTCTCTTCCCTTATATGGTTAGTTCACTTCTTTGGTGGAGAGAAGTATTTTAGAATGAATGATCAACCTTTTTTTCTCTGCCTCTCCATTTTCTTTCACAATCAAACAAAAAAAATGAATTGAAATTCGTGTTTTCTGTTCTTCCTCTTTCTTTCATTGTATTTTCCCTCCATCCAAACATGGTGTAAAGGGAAAGGGGGAAGGGACCATTTGGGGGGAGGGTATGGCAGGAAGGGTGAGTGCAAGGAGTTGCCACAGTCCTCAATTCAATCAACATCCTCAAAATATATTCCCTCTGTCCAATAAAGAAATTCTCATTTTTTTCATTTGGATGTCTTAAAAATCAACTTTTACTTTTTCTTTAAAAGATACTTCCTATATTATATGGAGCATATATAATTTTCTTCTTCTAGACATATCTCACCTACACACTATTGAATGTTCAATATTTTTTTAAACTTCGTCAAATCAAACATTGAAATTCTTTTCAAGAAGTATATAGCATATCGTGAACGCCATCTTTTCTTTAACGAAAAAGACTTACAAATGTAATCTTTTCTTTTGAAAAAAATGGTATCGCCATTGAAATATCCACCAAATTTTTCATGCATGGAAATATATATTTAGCCTTGATTTTATGCCTCTTCATCATATTAGAAGTATTTTTAACCTTGACTTTTGATGCCTCTTTATCATTATTTTTAGCCTTGATTTTTATGCCTCTTCATCAGTTTATCCTTAAAAAATACTATACATCTGGATATATAATCTGAGAATTGTGCATTTGATACGAATATCGTATCGGATAGGGAAGAACATCGAGCGTTCTTCAAGCTCTAAGAAAGGGGAGGCAAAGAGAGAAGGAAACTTCGAGCGTTTCCACGCTCCAAGAAATGAGAGAGGAGAGATTGGGTTTTGATTATTCTTTATTGATTGAATAATAATAACGAAGCGTTACAGTATATAAAGAACGCAAATAACCCTAATTGACCTAATTGGCTCGGGCCCATACAAAAACCCTAAACTATCAATATTAATAAATAATAATAAATAACTACTAAAATTAATATAACTATTTGAAATATCCTAATTAATTATTCGTATCATTCTCACCCCCTTAAAATCCACCTTGTCCTCAAGGTTGAGGCTCCCACTCGTGCTTTAGGACTGGAGAAAGAATGCCGAACCAAAGGAGCAATCCGCTCTTTGAATCTTCAACCATCTTGGATCTTGGAGCAAACCGAGGGACATGCGAGATAAAACCAATACCACATGTAGGTTCTCTTGGTTAAACTAGGTGCTTTGTCTTTAGGGATGACAATTCAACCCGAACCCGATCTTAACCGACCCGACCGACCACTAAAATATCTGAATCCGAACCGAGAATAAAATAATCCGAACCCGACCCGAAATTTTTTACCCGAACCCGACATCGGGTCGGGTCGGGTGTGGATTTATTATTTTACCCGACCCGAACCCACACCCGACCCGACTCAAACCCGGATATTTTATAACAGAAAAGCCTATCTATAGATATAATGAGCACTCCGTATAATCTCTTGACAAAGTGCTACTATATCAAGTATGCCATTTATAATCATTTTTATAATTCCTTAATAAAAAATGAGACGCAAAAAAAATTAGATTTAATCTTTTTAAAATTATTGGGGTACATTGAATTGATTATTGGTTAAAAGTCGGGTTCGGGTTTTGGGTTGGAATGTCGGGTTCGGGTCAGGTCGGGTTTTTGGCTTAAAAAGTCGGGTTTCGGGTCGGGTTTGGGTTTCAATTTTAAAAGTCGGGTCGGGTTCGGGTATAGTACTATCTGACCCGAACCCGACCCGTTGCCATCCCTATTTGTCTTGACCGCATCAACAATGTCAAACAACTTAATGGTTTTAAATGAAATGGGGTTGTCATCTTGCTTATTATGTGCATCTGCCACCTTGTTTACACCTTCTAGAAGGGCAAGCTCAAAACTGACCGCACAAGTTGAGGCGTTGACGAGCGCATAACATTCATGCGATGGAAGATCTAGGGGGTCCGCTTTAGCACTATATTCCGAAATATCACCTTTATAATTTCTCAGGACGTTGGACCTCTCGTCATCTTCATTCATGAGTTTAGGCCCAGTGTCTACATCATCCCCAACATGTGATTCGACACTTGAGTCATCTTTTGATTCCTTTTCATGAGACTCAGTATTTTGTACGACGACCATAAGAGTCAAATTGGATGGAGAAAGTGGGATCTAGTGAGGTTCCAAACGGCGTCCGCCATGTTTGTTCTAAAATTTTTTAACTCCAAAGGGATTAAATTCGGCAAATTAGGAGACCACGAATTAATCTTGTATTGCACAAGATATTTCAATGTCAAATGCGTGTAAGTCAGAATCATAATTTGATTGACCTTCAATACAAAGAAATGACTAAAGATTCTTTATAATTTCATCAATGTGATCCTAAAGTGTACACACTCCTTCGTCGTGCTCAATCTCTCCATATAGAACATTCTCCAGCAAATTAATAAGCTTGTCCAGTTCACAGGTACACATAATCAAAGTCAATAACCATGTGAATCGGGCCTCCATCCGTGATGAAAAATCGTGCATTCTTCAAGCTCCAAAATGGATTTTTGGATTTTTGGATTTTTTAGAGTTCTCTCAATGAAAGCACCAATTGATACGAATATCATATCGGATATGGAAAAAATTCGAGCATTCTTCAAGCTCCAAAAAAGGGGAGGCAAAGAGCTAGAGAAGGAAAACTTCAAGCGTTTCCAGGCTCAAAGAAATGAGAGAGGAGAGATTGGGGTTTTGATTATTCTTTATTGATTGAATAATAATAATAACAAAGTGTTACAATATATAAAGAACGTAGATAACCCTAATTGACCTAATGGGCACGGGCCCATACTAAAACCCCAAACTATCAATATTAATAAATAATAATAAATAATTACTAAATAATAATATAACTAATTAAAATATCCTAATTAACTATCCGTATCAGCATCATAAGTCTACAATGTACACTTTACCACTATACAAAAGTACAGAATAAAAAATTGGACAAGACTCTAATGTGCACCAATAAGCATGTCACCCAAGGAATTACAATCGTGCAATAAATATACATACATTTGGGCATACAAAAAAATTTTGGAGTAAATTTTATAAATGATATACTGTATTAAAAGATATTCCATATTTATTTTATGAAATTCAATTAGAAGTCTACCTTGGTTGTGAATATTGTCAATGTCAGTCCCTATTTAATCACATATAGAACTAAAACTAGTATACCCTCTGTCCAAATTTAAATTGTCTATTTTCTATTTTTGTCTGTCCCAAAATAAATTGCATATTTCTTATTATGGTAAGTTTTTATTGATAAAATACCTAAATTACCACTAAATTAAGTCACTCCTCTCTGTTTTATCTTTTTATTCATCGCAATCCTCCATTCCACTCTTTCATTTGTCTAATCTTTTATCTCCCCCGTCCACAGAATTCCCCTGCATCTCTTCTCAATCATCATCTTCCCCTTGGAGATCTGTCATCCACCGCTTGGGTATTCGATTTACTTTCTGTTGATGGGAAGGGAAGCCCGTCAGAAATACCTCATAGGAAGCGATCGTTGGGTTGATGCACTTGGGTTTTCTTTCAATTGAAAGTAGGAAAAGAAAGAATAAAAAGTTTCTAAACTACTTTTCTCTTATTCATGATAACTTGGAATGTGTGCCTCTCTATTTAAGGACGAGAGAAAAAACCCTAATACGGAGGAAATAAGATAACCTAACCCTGTCGGTTCAAAAAAGACATCGAGGTACAGAACCAAAAAGAAACCCTCGAATGAGCTTATAAAACCTCTCATAAGAAAATCTAGGCTATAATAATTAAATAATAAAAACTAAACATAATCTTTATACCATTGCAGTGGCCTGTAACGCCCTAAAAACTAGATTAGTAATTAGTTGTTATTTTTAAAAAAATAAATGTAATATTTTATTTTATTCTCTGACTAAAAATATAACTATTTTTAAAGTCAACCTTTTTATTCGA